ATGTTCAGTTAGGCGGCAGGGGTTGGGCACATACCAGACCTATGTTATTTGATTGTATTTTTGAATGTCTTCCATGTTTTAAACTCTGTCTTGTTGAGGTTTTGGGGTGTATTTATAGAATACTGGCCCTCACGACTCTTAATGGCTAACAGAAGTAATTTAGGAATGATTTCAGGGTGCATAGTTAACTTTGTAAACTGGAATGTGAAGTCTTTGAAGCATCCTGTAAAATACCTTACCTTACCATACCTTTTTTATTAACACCTTCTCTCGAATCCCTAACATGGATTCACATCACCTTATTCTAGGCGGGGATACAAATTGTGTACTTTCCTCAAAGTTAGACCATAGCTCCTCTAAAACTTCATCCGAATCAAAGTCAGCACGAAAAATCCAACTCTTTCTCCAGGTTTATGGTGTAGCTGATGTCTGGCGTTTCCTCAACCCTACATCTAGGGGCTATTCCTTTTTTTCCCCAGTCCATAAAACGTTCGCACGGATAGATTATTTCTTTATTGATAAGAAACTCCTTCCAATGGTAAGTCCCTGTGAATATCAGTCTATAGTTATTTCTGACCATGTTCCCTTGAATATGAAGTTACACATTCCCAGTGCAGATTCCGGCTATCGTCCGTGGAGACTTAACCCGTTACTTCTCTCAGAAGATACTATTGTAAATTTATAATAATGCAAAAATGAAATTCTTTCTCGGCCACAATCAGACACCGGGAATGTCATTCTCTATGGTGTGGGAATCGCTGAAGGCATACTTAAGGGGACAGGTTATCTCTTACTGTGCAATGCGGAGGAAAGCCAACACCAAGCGTCTTAAACAGCTGACAGATTCTTAAATTGGATATGAAGTATAGCCACTTGCCCTTGGATGATATACTCAAACAACGCCTATTGCTTAAAACAGAGTTTGACCTCCTCTCAACGTACCAAGCAGAGAATCTCATTTTAAAGTGCAGACATAGCTGAATCGCCAGAGAATGAATCTGCATTAGATGAGTTCTTTCACAGTCTCGATGTTCCCAGGATCTCTTGATGCTGAGAAAGCTTTGGATAGAGTGGAGTGGGACTGCCTTTTTTACATTCTTGGGAAATTTGGCTTTGCTCCAAAATGTGTATCCTGGATTAAAGTTCTCTACTCTCCAATGGCGGCAGTATGTACCAATAATAACCTCTCTCCCTACTTTAAACTACAAAGAGGCACCAGACAGGGCTGCCCAATGTCCCCACTCGTATTTGCTATTGCCATAGAACCGCTAGCATTAGCTATTCGACAGGATATCAATATTAAGGGAATTGATAGAGGGGGATTAGAGTGTAAAGTATCGCTTTATGCAGATGATTTGTTGCTGTACATTTCAGATCCTTTGTTAAGTCTCCCTAACCTGCTGGGCACATTGAAAAATGTTGGCAAAATATCAGGTTATAAAATAAATCTTCAAAAAGTGAATTAGTGCCAGTCAACATATCTGCAGAAAACATCTCTTTCAATTCAACCCTTTTTAAAATACACACAAAAAAGTTCAAATATCTGGGAATTTGGGTTACACATAACTTCAAAGACCTATATAAGGCTAATTTTCTGCCCCTGTCAGATGATCTGAAACAGGACATTAAACGTTGGGATTTATTGTCTCTTTCCCTGAGTTTAAGGATCAATACCGTCAAAATGAATGTATTACCTAAGTTTCTTTATCTGTTTCCGAACCTTCCCATATTTCTGACCAAATTCTTCTTCAGCTCCATAGACAAACTCATATCAACCCAAAAAAAACACGTATACTAAAATGCATATTGCATAGACCATGTCTTCAGGGTGGCACTTCCCAATTTTTTGTTTTATAATTGGGCAGCCAAAATTAGAGGACTTATGTTTTGGATGTCAGATATAGACAACTCAAACCCCCCTAAATGGCTAACCTTGGAGCATACTTCCTTACCAGTTTTATTGTGCACTGAACTCCCCCTAGTAAAGCCCATCTCTTATTACACCTTTAACCCTGTTGTGGCATATACAGTAAAAATTTGGAATCAGTTCAGGA